ACCCGGCCGAGAGAGCGGTCCCGAAACGAGCGACCCGGCCCGCCCGACCGGGTCAGGGCGCCACAAACCATGGGAGAAAGGGTGTGCGGCCGGGCGGCGACGGTGGTGAAGGGAAACGGGTGCCAGTCACGCTCCAGGCTGAAAGGCAGCCGTGACAATCCCGATCGGCGAGGCGTGCGTCCCTTGGGCAAATGTGAAGTCATTGGTCCGTTCCTCGGGCGTTTGTGGCATAACCGGTCACTGCCATGGGTGCGCGTCATCCCCTTCAACGAACCATCTGTCCATAGAAAACCGGTGCGACAGCCTCATTGAGCATCCAACGGAAGGACGATATGTCCCCATAGAAGGCGGATACGACCTTGCCGAAGCCCTAGCTGACGGGAAGTCTGAGGTCGGGGGCGTTATCCAGTTAGTGTTCCACCTGCCCCGCTGCCAATACCGTCGGGAAGCCGTCCAGTTGCGTAACGCAGCGCCGCGTAACGGTGCCGACGGCTCGGCCGATGAATACAGCGCCGCAGCAGCGAATCAGAAGCCATGACGTGTCGCGGCCGCCGGGGACACACGGACCTTTCTCTCTGCATACGTCACGGCCTGAGTACGCGGAATGCAACCGGTCACAAAGGTGGATATCTGGAGCGCTGATCCGTTCCATGGCGACGCTGCACGCCAGCCAGGCATGTGCACCGGCTGTGCAGTGCCGTGTCAAAAACAAGCGGTCCCGCACCGCGCCGGCAGCGGCCGAGCAAATCCGGCCGTTGCCTCGGCGGCTGATCCGTCCGACCCGCACGGTGCTGTCGGTCCGTGTTAGCCGGCCCCCGGCAGGAAGGTAGACAGGTGGGTTTGCCGCTGTTCCCGCTGACGCGCGCCGGGCCCGGCCGGCTCAACGACAAACAGTCGCCGTGCCGGTCCGCCGCGCCGCTTCGAGAACGTTCCCGGGAGGCCGGACTCGGCCGCCATCACAGGGTCTAGTTCGGCCGCAACCACAGGGCCGAGACAAACGTATCGATGGATCGGCACGCGAGTGGTTCGTACTAATCATATTTACGCCCACCACGGGATAGTTATGAACATTGAACAGTGAACACTGCACAGCATGCTAAACAGTACGGTTGTTTGTTCACAGAATAGTTACACAGATGTCGATTCAAGGAGTCCTACGCTACGCTACCTACTTGTATCACTAGGGCGTCAAAATTATCCAATAGAAATGAAACTAAGAGGCCACCAATGCCGTGCATGTCTGAGTCGCGACATCCACACAGTATCACTAGTTTTTGTGCAAGCGCACTGACATCTGGCCATGGACCGGACGGGTGACATTTCCCAGCGTCGCCTGTTTACGTTTCTCCGTGCAAAACCCGACGGTTACCGAGAGCGAGCGACTGACCGGCAGCCGTCCCGGTCGAGTGGCCAAGGTTAGAGAACGTGTCAGCCGCCGTATGAGAGCCACTCACAGCCGGGGGACACGAGTTCACCGAGCACTGATTACTGATAGAGGTCGGACAGGTCAGACTGCGACACTAACCGGGCCTGAGGCGCCGGGACAGGGCAGTTAGGGCGGCGAGTCTAAAATAATACTCGCATGGTACAAGTGCAGTAAGACTTGATGAAAGCGAAGGCGACAGTGATGTAGCTTATGGTAGATCCATTTTCCACCTATCTCTAACTAGCGCGACATCTAACTTCACCTGTCCCTTCCAGGTCCGGCGCCAACCGTCCGCCTCTACCCACGGCGGCGATGATTCGCACGCTCACCGCACCGGCTATTCAAACGGCGCACACAGGCCGATGGCCGGGCCCGGCGGCGGCCGGTTCGGAGGAATGTCCGCGCTCCACCGCGCACCGGGCGACGCAGCGCCGGCGGCGGCGGCGGTGGCGGTGGGACGCGCACCGGCCCCGCGGCCGCCGCCGGCAGGACCGGCAGGACCGGCCGCGGCGCCCCACCGCCGGCGGCCGGTGGAGGACGATGACTCCGCACACACCTGCCGCCCCCATGAATAACGCGCCGGCCCGCTGCGGCACCAGCGGAGCCCCGGCCCAGCGCGCAGCGCCGACCGGTCGGCCGGGGTCGCCACGCCGCCAGGTATGCAGGCCGGAAGGAGCGGCCGGTGCCCCCGACAGACGCAACCAGCGCTCGTCCCGGACGCTGCTCAAAGGCATCCGCACACGGTGAACTCATCGTGCGTACAGAGAAGTAGAAGGCCGAGTTGCGAAACCGCATTTCTTACCGGTGACGGCTGCGCATTCCCAGGCATATCGAAAAGCAATATGCTAGAAGAGGGATCGTATAACAAAGTAATGGTTATATGAGAGCTTATCTCCGTCCTATGGGTCTCATACCATCCACTAGAAGGAGCGACAGAGAGAAACCGGTCTGGGCCAGGAGCCGGCCCAGTTTCTCCGTCCATCCCTTCTCGGTAGGAGCCCGAGCCGTGTCGGGACCGCGCCCACCCCTGCGGGCAGCCCGGTCTCTGCGCCCGGCGCCGCCGTCCCGGTCAGATACAAGACGACGCAGCGAAACGGGGTCCGTCGCAGGCCACCTGTCACCCAGTCTCGAGTAGCTCATACTACGCACAAGGTTACTACGCAAGGCCACTATAAAATCCGTGCGGCAGGTTAGTTAGCGAAGGCCATATTCCTGTTCTGCGAGTCAAGATCATCTGCAAGATTTGCGCGTGTTGGCTAACGCACAATTTCTAGAACTCGCAGAAATAACGGGTGTGCACTTAGTTTCTGGAAAAAGATTGATCATCCGTATCTTTAAAACTATTAAAGCTATCAATACAAACTTTCGTATTGTGAATAATCATTCATTTGGGAATGAGCATGCCAAAATTCAGAACAAACCGACTATTTTTTCATACAGAAAGGAGCTTACAACTAAGTCATGAACACGGAAAAGAGTGGCGGAATTTTCACAAAAATAACAAAAATTCCAGAGAAACAACTTCTCTTCCCACTGGCGCTTTCTAGGTATTGCTAGAAAGAAAGCTTGTGCCATTAGAGGAACGACACAAGCACGGGGAAGTGCGTGGCACATGCACAGTGTGCAGGTGTGTTGATTCGTGGCGAAAGTGCCCCAGCAGAAGAGGTTCGTTATGGTAAAAGGTATTCACCATCTTGTGAGCGTTCCCGATACACTTCCCGTCCTCCCGTTTTCCATGTTTGTAAGAAAAATTTTAAATTGTGATATTGTATACCAAAAAGGGTAGAGATACCATGATCCAGCAGTCGGCAGCCGATAAAAGCAGCAGAGGAGCAATGAGACATGGATCTGTAAGCTATCATATAAATGCTGAGTGCACAGACGATTCAAGCAATCACCTGTGGATGCTGGAATTAGATCACCTAAAACGGAAATTTTATGTAATGAAGATGGAGTAAAACACCATCTCGAGAAGCAAACGTTCACAAAATGTGGAACCTTAGCCTGTTGACCACTTTTGACGCGATCTCCTGGTCAGTGGACCGTCATATCCCCACGTGCGGTATCCAATCATTATGTTAGCCCTATGTAGCCAATGCAGACGTCGATATCTTTTGACAGCAGTGATAAAATAAAGAAATTTTGTCACATTGGGAACATCACTGCCCGAGGAAAGTATAGGTGTCATGATCACACCACAATGCAGTCACTGTGCGCGCGGAGCGCTGGATCTACGGGACGGCGCACACGTACCGTTTGTGAGCAGCGAAGGGAATCTTCTTGGCATATCTCAACGGCGACCGAATGGGGATTTTTGAAGACGATATAGTACTAAGGAAGATGTTAAGTGCATATTAGCGTCTATTTGAAGTCCATAACCCGCTAGCCATCGCCACACCTGAACCCGGAGGTGCCGCGCAATTTCAACAGGGAGCGTCTGTATAGCACGTGGGCTGTAGACCGCCTGGGAGGAGAGAGCGCCTAATTCTTTTGACATCTCTTAAAGGTATTATCAGGGTTTTTTCCGAAATTTCGGAGTTACTCAGTGAAACGTGTAGATGAAGGTGGCTGAGGCCCCGATCCGAAGTCATTCGTCTCAAAATTGCCTAATTTCCAAATGGTGGGCCTCCAAAGTTGATCCGTCTGCCAGCCAGTACCTGGAGGAGGCAGTACCAAGTACTCGGATACATTTCCCTATAAGTCCATAGGCTTAACACTAGCTAGAGACTTCTAGAGATATTTTGTATGCCAGATAAGGCCGTCGCATACCAGATAAGGCCGCAATGGCCGTTCAACGTTACGTGGGGAAATTGGAGAAATCTAAAGACTTTTTTCTCTCTGACGTCTCCACTCCGCAACTGGCAAGCGTTGTTAGCATTGGCTCGTGTCGTCGTAAATAAGATTTGTTTGACGGATATTCCGTTAGTTGAGTGTGTTGTTGTAATTTCTGAGGCTGTATGAGTTGGACGGAATGGCGCCATCCCGCCAAGTGCGAAATCGGCGGTGTAGTGTGAAGGGTTGTGGAAAAACAAAGGCTGATTGTCATTTGTCCCGGTCTCAACTTCTTCCATGTTCCGAAAACCGTGTCAAGTAAGTCCAATTTGAAATGCTGGAGATTGCGGGGCAGGCACTAAGTGAAAAACAGTTGCATATTTTACGAAATTGTATTAATATATGTTTTTATGTCAAACATGCACAAATGTAATGATCAAATGTTTGAAGTGTTTGAAGTGTTTGAACACACAAATGTTTGAAGTGTTACTCATACATCAAACAGTAAGGCGTACGAGTAAATTGTGTGGATGAAGTCTGAGTGGTCCGAGGAAAAAAAAACAAGCGAACTTGACCTAAGTCCTAATATTACCTATTACCTAATAACCTACTAAACTACAGCCTCCCACGAACCTACAACCTACATGCTTCAGCTTACAACCTACAACCTACAACTCGGAGTTCATCTACACATATAACTAAAGTACTCAATGTACTATCTGTGGTTACTTGTTATCTGTTACTTGTACTGGAATGGCAAGTCTTGCAATTTTCCCAGACCTTTGATCACAAAGTCATGCTGTTTTTAGGAGACTTGGTTGGATGGCTGTCCTAGAAGATGGCTTGGCGGACAAGCAGGTTGACGAAGCACTTGTGTGTAGCTGCCACTTCAACCCTCAAGATCTTTTGCTTGGAGAAAGGGCTAGAACGTCACCACATGCCGTACCGTCAATAGCAGTCGTGGAAGGTGGGTTTGGCATTTCCTTTGTAATTGAACTGGTTTTTAGCACAACTTGTAAAAGTGGCACGAACATTGTTACATTGAACACTTGATGTGATGTAGAACCTGATAGCTGATGTTGAGTCTTCCAAATTGTATGAACAGCAGCTGGTGCATTGAGCCTGACAAGTGACGTTGGCACCCTAGTAGTCTCGTGTTTGAGTGTGGTCACCTAAAAAACTTGTGTGTAACCAACCATAAAGTTTTTAAATATAATTTTGGGATAATATTGATGTGGTGTGTTTTGGTCATATGGCTTGGATGGTGACTAACACTAATTAAGGAATGCTTCTTCACGACAATCTCCAATCTCCTTAAGCACCATCATCTATATTTTCTTCCCAGGGATTCATCCCTGAATCACAATCATTACCTAGGCCAGATAACTTTGCTGGGCCACATGGTCAAAACAGTTGCAGCTACAGGGTAGGTATACCAGCTGTACATGTATTTGACAGACTAAACATTCTTTCTGTACATCTGGACAGGTAAACTTGATAGGCGGCCGGCGCGCGCCCATCGGCACCGGCGGCCGGCGCGCGACCATCCCATCGGCACCGGCGGCGGGCGCGCGCCCATCGGCACCGGCGGCCGGTGCGCGCCCATCCCATCGGCACCGGCGGCCGGCGCGCGACCATCCCATCGGCACCGGCGGCGAGCGCGCGCCCATCCCATCGGCACCGGCGGCCAGCGCGCGCCCATCGGGCACCGTCGGCGGGCGCGCGTCCATCGGCACCGGCGGCCAGCGCGCCCATCCCATCAGCACCGGCGGCCGGTGCGCGCCCATCCCATCGGCACCGGCGCCGGCGCGCGCCCATCGGCACCGGCGGCAGGCGCGCGACCATCCCATCGGCACCGGCGGCGAGCGTGCGCCCATCCCATCGGCACCGGCGGCGGGCGCGCGCCCATCGGCACCGGCGGCCGGTGCGTGCCCATCCCATCGGCACCGGCGGCGGGCGCGCGCACATCGGCACCGGCGGCCAGCGCGTGCCCATCGGGCACCGGCGGCGGGCGCGCGTCCATCGGCAGCGGCGGCCGGCGCGCGCCCATCGCCGGTGCGCACGCGCGCGCCCATTGCAGAGAGAGGTGATGTGATTGACCCTGTTGCCCCCCCCCCCCTCCCCCACCCTCTGACCCGCCCGCGCGCCCCGACAGGTCGTCGTGTAGCGCGGCGCTCCGCCAGCTGCTGTGCTGGGGTTGGCGGCGCTCAGCAGCTACCAGCTGATGCAGCGCGCCGTGCTCGCTCGCCGCGGCGCAGTGTTTATAGCGCGTGCGCCGGGCGCTGACGGCAGTCGTCTGGCAGCGACAGCTCTGCCGGTGACGGCACACGCTGCTGCTGCAGAAACTGGACAAGGGCCTGCTTGGGCTCCTGGTCCTGGATCGGTACGCCGGCTCAGTCACCTGATGACGGCGGCGCAAAGCGTGACCTACCCGCCCTACAGCCGGCCCAGCAGGGTGAGTAGTGAACTGAGTACTGAGTAGCGCTCAGAGTTAGCTTGAAGTTGTTTAACATGATGCACTGTTCTTCATGAGTCGTCCCCATCGCTGCTTGTGACTTGCAAGTTCCTTCTTTTTCGGCAGTGCGTCCCAGCAGCGATTTTCACCTCTGAGAAGTATAGTTGCCGTACTAGTGAAAAAGTGTATATCTTTGAAATAAACATTCCGTTTCATCTGCCCACTACCACTAACGCCCCTCTGCCCTCTCCTGCAGCGGACGGGGAGACCCACCTGACCGCTCCTTCCCCCTGTTCTGCTGCAGGCGGGGAGGCCCGCCCTGACCTTCTCCTCTACCCTCTGCCCTCTCCCGCAGCGGACGGAGAGGCCCGCCCGGGCCCAGTGCCGCACGGAGAGGCGGTGGCGCTTGAGGCCAACACCCCGGCTCGCGACCTGTAGCTGACGGTGCTGGAGCCGCGAGTCACCGTGTTGGCTGGCCATGGAGACTTGGAAAAGGTGGGTCTCCGCGCAGCGGAGGAAGGGGCGGCGGCTGACAGTGGTGGCCGCCAACGGGGAGCTGGGCGGCGTGGGTCCATGCATAGCGGGGATGTTCGAAAGGACAGCATCAGCTGCATTGTTTGAAGAGCTGCTGCAGTTGGGCGTTGAGATATGATCGCAGACTTGCAAGGAGATGGGCTCCTGAGATGCGTGCTTTTTTTTTTTGCTCCGATGATCCGGCTGATCGCTGTTCTATGAGGTCGTATTACCCGCCCGCGGTCACCAGGCCGGGGAGGTATATACGTCTACAAGCAGCTGTGTTATTTGTCTGTCCCGGTTGTATCACCCAGTCTTCCCCCGTCCTCAGGCCGGTGAGGTGCGTCTCCAGCTGCGCTGTCAGACGATCCAGTGGAACGAGCAGCAGCCCATGTACCCGTCCCGGCTGTGCCGGTGTGTCTCCCAGCTTGAGCGGCGCCGGCCGACCGCTGCGCTGCTCTACAACTGCCACGTCCACACACGATGCACGGTCAGTCATTATACCGAGTAATGCTAATTATAACCGCGGGTGTTTTGTTAGAATGGCCCTGAGAGTGTGCCTTTGTTGTGTGATTATTGTTGAGTGCGTTTTCTAGTTGTGAAGTACACTGTGGTAGGCTCGACATTACTACTCATTAGAAGTGGCGGGAACACTGCCCCAATGCCCTATTGTCGATTGGAAATGAATAACTACAGCCGCGGCTCCTGACTGTATCCCTTTTCCCCGTGCGCCCTATCGCAGGTGACGGCTGACCAGGCGGTGCTGGTCTCGACCGCGGCCGACGGCCAGCCCGCCCAGGAGCACCAGGTCGCCGGCGGGGGACCGCCGGCGGGGGACGGGGGGGGGGACCGCCGGCGCTGAGCCGGCCGGCTCGCAGCTGGACCTGCCACTAGAGACGGACCTGTGCGACCTGGACGTGCGGCTGTGTCAGACCGGCTGGTGCTGGGCCGGCGCCGCCCGGTGCGCTGTCAGCTGGACGGCCGGCCCGTGCTGGCCGCGCCCCAGGCGGCCGACGCGCCGGCTCCCGGCGGCGGCGGCGAGCGGGCGGTACGGGCGCTGCTGCAGCTGCCGACAGCTGCCGCCGCCGCGGACAGCTGCCCGCTGCTGGTGGTCGTCTCCGAGCCGGCCCTGCTCTGCTGGCAGCCGGCACTGCTGCTCTGGCTGTCCCTGGCCACTCAGCTGGCCAGCAGCTGAGTGGCCCGGCGCCGCCGCCACTACCCCAGCCGCCCGAGCCGCCGCCGCCGCCGCCATGGATGTGCCCCGGCGGCAAGGACACTCGGGTACCTCGCGATCGGCACGGAGCCACACCACGGAGAGGAACCTACCCGCAGTGTCACCCAACACCTCCGCTGCGGCGGCCGTCTCCCCCACTCCGCCGGCGCCGCCCGCCGCTCCGACTTTGGCCTGGCTGCCGGCCCTGGAGCGTCTGGAGGTGTGCCTTCAGATCAGCGCGGTCACCGTCACCGTTCCGGCCGGTCCAGAGAGCGGCGGCGGGGCGGCCGGGGACGCGGAGCGGACGGCGGACTCGCTCCCGGCCGCGGCCGGCCACCACCCGGCGCCGGTACCGGGCCGGGTCCGCAGCAGCAGCGACTCGGGCCACCGGTGCTGCCTGCACGGACAGCTGGTCTCTGTGCTGCCGTCAGTCCGACTGGACAGCGCTGCGCTCAAATCGGCCGCCCTGCCGAGTCGCCGACAGTGCCGGAGGTGCCCGTCCGACTCACCAGACCTTCAGCGGCCGCAGGTCAGTCGCGGCCGCCGCACGGCCAGCTCATACCGGCCACTGAGGAGGGCTTTTCCATAAAACTCTCAGTGCTAGTGATTTTGGCATTGGCATGGGGGCGGGTATTGGTACTCACTACTCACCCTGCTGGGGCCGGCTGTAGGGCGGGTAGGTCACGCTGTGCGCCGCCGTCAACAGGTGACTGAGCCGGTGTACCGATCCAGGACCTCAATTATGATTATAAGTAAAACGGGATGTAGGGATGAAGTCAGCTTGTGCTCAAGACTGACGTCATGACAATCGACACGTGAATATAACGGGCATGTTTGCTCCTTGCTGTCGTGCGGGCATTCGAATCTCTCCCAGTTTGTTGGCCCGTGTCTCTCTCCCGTCCCCCGGGTCTCTCCGCCGGCTGACTCCGCTCTGTCTGTTCCAGCCGGCTCCCAGCTGCGCTCGCCGAGCCAGACGCAGCAGGTGATGTCGCCGTCGGTCGTGGTGCGCGACTGTGCGTCCATCCCGTGTCCAACGCCCCCCCCCCCCCACACACCGCGCGCTGCTGCCGGGCCCGCCGTCGTAGTTTTATGGCCTTGCGCCGTCAGTCGCCAGCTGGTGGTGGCGACCCGTGATCGCTCGCGTACGTTCGCCGGCGCGCCCATTGCAGAGAAGGGGTTCGCGCATGCCCATTGTAGAGGGGCGCGCCCCTTGCGGAGGCGGTACGCGCTACGCTGTAGACAGTAATGCTTGTTGGGTAGCCCCTTTGCACATTGTTTGTTCATGGATGTAAATACAAGTTACATGACTGATGAGTGTAATGCTTACATTTTTGAACTAAGAAATGCCACAGGGCAGGTTACCTTGGTGAGTTTCTGATATCAACATACTGAACATAAGAGCAGAATAATTATCCATAGAGCGTTAAGGATTTTAGCCACCGAATTCACCAGTCAGTAATTGCACATGGTGGCACCATGAGCATGAGTACCTCGCCTTGTCCGATCCTTTTCACAACTAGCAAGTAGAATGTGGGAAAAGGCAGGGAACTTCAAAGCATGCGCATATGTAGATAGCTGATGATTCTCTCTGTTCAAGCACGATCTGGCACTCTGCAGCCTGTTCTGTTCCACATGAGTTGCCGGGACAGCATCATACATGAATTTCTGCATGCTTCAAACAGAAATGCCTTAATTTTCCTTAAAATATGTTCATTTTTCACACAAAGACAACAAAAATGTACATGCAGGTGGGTACCGTGGCAAGAAATTACATACAAATGTATTTTGCCATGTAGGTACCCTCCTATCACATCACAATCATCAATCATAATTAAGAGCACCAAGACGTTCTTTGCGACTTGCGAGCCCAGCCGTGTCAGACCAGCTGATGCAGGGGCTCTGTCACAGGGGGCACAAGGCCCAATGATTATGTCACAGCACAATGTTGTACAACCTGCTATTCAAGAACACTTAAATCTTGAAAAACCTGTAGCTCTCTTGTCACCTCACTTTTCGCACTCTTGACAAATCACTAATCAGTCAGATCAAGACTGAAAATTGAAGAGGATAAGCTCTTTTGTGGGATGTACTTGCAGTTTCAATTCAATGACATAAATTACTCGAAATTACCATTTAAATTGTACTGTACCATGACGAATCTACCATTGAAAGAAAATTGTATCATGACCCTGCTATAAAAACTGAAACAAGCTCCAATTGCATATGATAAATTTGGCGATGTTTATAAATCTTGCTGCCTTAGACAAGCAAATCTTCAATTTGTTTCAATTTCAGTCGAGTTCTTCACCAAAAATCCATCGTATATCGACAACCAATGCCTATCACCGAAATCTTGTAGAAATCCTCAATCCCGCAAAATTTCGCAAGGCCGCTCTTTGTTTACATTATAGTGATGGGCCAATCTGACCGCTCAAGTACTTGTTTTGCGGGAGTAAGTACATTTTTGTCGTTTTTCAAACGGCTATAACTTGCAAAGTATAGCATCAATAGGCATTTTATGTATATCGTTGAAATCGGCAGAGTCTGGAGACTTAACTGATAGGCAATACATTCCGATTCCTTTCAATTTTTAAACCCTGATAATCCCTTTAACTATTGCTGCAATTTATATATGTGCCAAATATCATCTTAATCCAAGTTCAAACACTAAAGTTATGGCAGCACAAACTTTTTCCAGAAACTAAGTGCACACCCGTTAGTTAGCATATCAATGTCGATCCATTTGTAGCTAACTCAACGGCCATTTTTAATCATATCCAAATTTAAACCCTGAGCCATTGACCGGATCTCGCCCAGACGCTGCCTGAAGACTGAGCACTTGAGCAGTGTGCACCGTGCAGTGTGCATTTGCAGACCACGTGGGCGGTAGACCCACCGGCTTCTGCCGGGTCAACCGACCCGGCCGGCCAGCTCAGGCGGTCGACCGGCGCGGTGAGCAGTTGGGCATGCAGTGCAGCTCGGCGTAGGACCGGTCTGATCCGTGCACCACGCCGGCCCAACATGCCGCTTCAGCACGCCGGCCGTGCGCGGAAGAGAGTCCTGAGCCCAGACCGGCCAGCGGTCACCGGCCCCGGCGCGCGCGCGCATGGCACCGCCGGCGGATTTGCAATGCAGCAGGACGCGGCATTGAACTCAGGACGGTCAAGGTACCGGCGGGCGACGGAGGGGCGCACCGGCCGGCGCCGTGTTTTTGCGGCCGAATTGGGGTCATGGAGGGGAGGTGAGGGACGGAGAGGGTCGAGGGGATCCCCGGGCTAGTGAAAGGGCAGCGTCAGAAAAACAGTCACCGGACCCAGTTCCAATCAGACAGGATCTGAGAAGGTGACCAAATTTCACTTTTCGACAATCCACTGCGCTTTTCACGGCAGTGGTGAGTGCCGGCACTTTCCTCGTGCAAACTGGGCCACTCACTCCATGAGCGGGCACGAGCTGCCGGTGCAGCCAAGGCCAGAGGCCCGCTCCGAACGATCTGGCTCCTTTAGCGGACGGAGCGAGACGCCACGCTGACAGCGACAAGGCGGCGTCACGACAGCGTGAGTGTGTGCCGTGACGCCGCATCCCGACTCGTCCGCTCTGCCGGCCGAGAGTGACGATCGTGATCGGCAGATCGTCACGGCGCGTCACACCGCGTCATTCTCAGAACACGACGAACCTCGTACCCCAACTGCGACGGAGGGAGTGATGCCGTCTTCCGGCGACTGGTAATACAGACATTCCGTCAAAGTGGCGAGGCAGTAAACCAGACACTCGCCAGTCCGTCGGTGACCACTGAGCGAAACGCTGGGAGTTGGACGGCCGGCGCTCCCACCCGGCTCGACCCACCGTTCCGGCGCCGGCGGCACCGCGCCGCCGCGGGCGCCGGACAGACGGCGGCCGTCGCATGGGAGTTCAACAGACAGACGGATGGAACAGTACACCGGTACATCTCACACCTGCGCCGACCGGCCGCTGACGCACACTCATGCCGTCTAACGGGACTGTCCCGCGGCCCGACGACAGGTGGGCGGCGGAGCCGGTGTGGGGACAGCCAGTCACCATGGGATGGATTCAAAAGACGGGTCGGGCGGCGCCGGTTTTGGGTACATCAGCAGGAGGGGTGGGTTGAGTCCAAAAGACGTCCGGGCGGCACCGGTTCGGACGCCCAGTAATCAGCACGAGGGAAAGGCAACGGCTAGAAACCGGAAGCAAGTTGAGCGGCGCAGGTGTGGAGACAGCAGTTAGTGTCAGGTGGGGGACAGACAGATCCCAGAAGACGGGCAAGATGGTGCGGGGTGACGCCACAAGAACAGTCCCACCAATCAGATACGCCCTCAGTCTGTCAGACTGGTTGTGTGTCAACTGTCTACGATACACAGCTCTCATTAACGAGTTGCAAAGACGTGCTCATCAACCGAGGTGAGCCGGTGGGCCTCATTTCAATCCGTCATGCCACCGGCTCTGACCCAGATCAGCAGTGCCTGCGCTGTACCGAGCCGACACATAGCTGACGGCCCGTGACGGGCGAGGTCGACCGCGTGTCACGCCCGCCCTCCCGGGTAGTACACCCCCTCTCCCCCACTCCCCTGTCCGCCCCGCCCTTCCGCACGCACATGTACCGCGTCATCCGCAGACAATTACGATCCGGCCCGCCCCATCACACAGCAGTTATAGCTGCTGTGGTGGCGATGGGCTCTGACAAACCGCCAGGACATGTGTCGCCTGTTCGCGGCTCAGGTGCTCCTCGCGGGGGCGCCAGCCGACCGACCACGCCGCCCCCACCGCCGACCTCGCTTCCATCGATCGCTGGCCGGCCTCGGGGGCGGCTCGGCAGCACCGTAGCCGCAGCCGCAGACTTTCACCGGCCGCGACCACGTGGCTCGGCCAGAAAACATATGGTCCAACTCCCAGCTGATAACGATGAACTGAGAAAATGTAACGAAGAAATAGGACGAGACATGAAGCCAGGATGTAACGCTGTGACGCAGCGTAACGACGGATCGCCGTTGTGCAGTACCGCCAGACCTGTTCAGTACGACCGAACTGGCCTGCAGTACGACCAGACCCGCGCGCACTACTACCAAACCGGGTTAGACCAGGGCGTTCAACACACCCAGAACCGTGTGCCGTACTCAGTACGCACAGACCAGCGTGCAGTAGTGCAGTGCGACCGAACACCGTGCAGCACGGCCGGGAGTTCCCTCACGCTCGCCGTAGCGCGGTCAACGACTGGAGGTGGCGATACGCGGCGGCCCGCGCCGGTCAGCCCGGCGGCAGTGCGTGCAACGGCAAACAAGTTGCGCAACTTCTGCCGAACCGGCCGGCGGTGGAAATATGCACCTCGGCGCCGAGCGGGGGCCGCCGGCGCCCCGAGGACCACGGCGGGCCAACGGCCGCTGAGGAGCGCCGCTTCGAAACGACTGGTTATGATAATTACGGCGAGGTCGGAGGGCGGCCGCGACCGGGACGAACTGAACGACGCTGGACGCAAATAGAGCCGATAATCCATTGTTACAGCGTGAGTGGGCTAGACAGCAAACAGGTTAGCACAGCTCCAGACTGGCTGCAAGACCGTGGAGGAAATACTTGCAAGTTTGCGTCAGTCTCTATGTATAGCCAGCAAAATATGATCGCAGAAGCGTGATAGAAGTGAGATTGCCGCCATAACCGTTGCATTACTCTGATAGAAATCGATAAGGTTGACAATACAATCATTGACCACATAACCCAGTTCTAAATCAAAACAAGGTTTCAATTGCTTTTGCAGCGTTACTTCATATCCGTAAACATCGTAACAGACAAATTCCAGTCATCAGCATCCCCTTCAAGCGCTCTCCAATCACCACGTGCGTTCTGCTGTCGCTTATCCCTCCCTCGGCCTCCCTAACCACCGGTAGGCATGTTCGCCCTCGGCGCTCGTCAGACGTTCGCCGGGACCTACTTGTGCAGACGGTGGCGACCCGCTCGGTTGTGGAGTCAGGGGACGGCGGCTCGATCTTGATCAGGTCGATCGGGTTGAAGGAGCGCTCCGGCTCCGCGGCGCTCTGCTCCGGTTTGGAGCCGAGCTGCTCCGACTCCTGCTCCGGCTCCGACATGTCCGTGCCGCCTGCGGCGAGAGAGGGAAGTGGCTGGTGATGCATGCATGGTACAGAGGGGGAGGGTAGATAAATTATCTTACATAGCCTTTGTTCTACTAAGGATGGGGCTCAAGACAAGAAGTCTGAAGTCTTTTACCCTATCATTAGGCACCAGTTACACACATTACAATCTACTAAGTGGTGACTGGTGAGCAACACTTCCAAACTTGGAGATTCACATTTATGGACATTCCCCTTCATTAAATATCCCTTGCAAGCCAACCAACCCAACCATTCATTCATTTGTTTGTCTATTTTTGACCCAATGTGTCCATCAAAGCCCAGCTCACTCACTCAGATCATCTTCGCCATTGTCATCAGGTGACATGATCTGGTCAGAGCTGGTGTTGGACAGACCACTGTCTGACAGCGCTGGCGAGGGCGACAGCAGGCCCGGTTCGCTGACACTGTTGCCAAACTCTTGCAGGAATGAATCCAGGTTGTCAAACATGCTGAAGTCATTGCCCTGTGCATGATCAAACAGGCTATCCTCCTGGAAAAAGAGCACATCCACAGTTTGGTATCACAAAAAACATCTTCATCAGCAATAAACAGGTCAAGGATCTATACTAAAGGCAAGTGCAGAATTTTGTTTGTGTCATACAATGGTAAACATTTAAGGGTGGAGGGTGTGGCATTTTTTGGGAGTTCACTTCACACCAGAATTAAGTTTTTAATGTTCTTAGACATCAACATGTTGGGATGGTTTTCAACACACAACTCCACAATACAAATAATGACCCTCAAACATAAAAACCTCAGGGAAATAAAATAGTGAGCATATCCCAAGGTGTGGAGTGTGGAATGACATATGCATTATGCACATTTTCACAGTGCACCAATTTAACTGAAACAACACTTCAGGATTGGACAACATTTACAATACAGTGCAATTGTGATTGCATATATCACATCTGATGAATGTTACAAGAACATACCTTTGTAGGCTCAATAAACTTTTCTGGTTCTTGCTTATCAAAAATGTTTTCTGGGAAGTTCTCCAGGTCAAGATTCAGGCTGAGATCATCTTTAGACTTCCTATCAATGGCGATGTCAGGCAGGAATGGTCCCGGGCTGACTGGGAAGAAGTCCATTTTGTTTCCTTGTTTGGATCTGGCCTCTGGTCGTATGTTCCAAGTCCAGAGCCAGCCGTGCACTGGTATTTTCTACGTCCTCACTTTCCACCTCCACCACAGCCCTGACAAATTAAAGACTTTTCACAAACGCAATCTCCGCACAGCTGTCTGTGTACGGCACACTGACCGCACACCACCATCCGACGTAACACCAGCGACACGAATGTGTGATTACGGACCCGCAGCGCACCTCGAGCGGAGGGGAGGGGCCGCTGGGGGGCGGGGTATTCCAAACTGACGTCACGCCCAGCGATGGTGCCCGCAGGCAAATCTTGTGCCGTTAGACCGGCGAGACCTTTTACAGGTGCAGTTCGACAAATCTGTACACTACAATGACATAATATGCAGCATCACTGATGGAAAACAGACTGAGGAGCCACCCCAACCAGTTTGTAGCACAGAAAACAAGCAAAACACGCAAATTCAACATACCATTTGGAGCTGTCGACGTGGCCGCAGCCTCCGTGGCCGCTGGCTCGCTGCCAAAAGAATGCCAGATGGCTTGTTTTTAGTATACAAGATTGAAAACAACTAAAAAAATAAATCATACTAGATCTAAATGCAAAATTTTTCTGCATATAAACCACTGAAGGTATCTTGGGATACTTTTTCCTGCTAAAAATCACTAATAAAATAGATGTGAACCTATAAATTTCATTTGACTACAGGTACTTTTACATCTCTGGATAAACAAAGTAGATAATCTTCCATAAATCTAGCTTCTTTCACCTGTTACAAACATAGCGCTCTTGTTACAATTCTCTGGGACTTCCCCTGAAGAAAAACCTGTTCTTTCTTCATCCGCAGCTGACGAAGGCTTTCAGTGAAGTGACGTCAGCCAATGTTTGATAAACTTTTTCCACCATAAATATTTTAAGTAACCCATTTCTGGGAACTTAAATAAAAGCCATTGGCGGTTAAAAAAGATTATTTGCAGTTTTAAGCTTCAGAACGTATTCTTGTACAAAAATGTATGTATGACGTAAGTTTTTGCTCGCTGGACGAGTATTGAGTAGAACATATTACATGGATTGCAAGACATGTGCATAATAATGCATGATGAAAACATTTGTTTTCTCAGGTGATCTTTAGTTTCTGTTTGGCCGGCGATTCGGTCGTAACAATTTCTCGTCCCCAGCCAGTGTGCATATTAGTTCAAGTTGTTTTAGCCTATTTATATACACTGTGGCCTTTTCTACATAGGCGATAGGAGATTAATTGATTGAGGATAAATCCTCCAGTCATTTCAATTTGCATCTGTCCCATTCTTCCTGAGGTCAACTTGTCTGCTATTTCAATTTGTATAACAAGAAGGTAAGAAGCTGGGCAGCCTGTCAGGTCTGAGGCTTTAGGTTAAATGTGCAATGGAGAATGAAGTGTTGTTCAGTACACTTTTGTTAACACTCTACTGCTGGATTTCCCATTTAAAAGTACCAGCTGCCAATTTGAATTCTCAGCATCACCATCTTATTACCAAACTGCCAGACTGTAAAAATATACCCCGCGTTCGAGGTCTCTCGGACGACGGAGATTCTACGTCGTCCGGCCAATCCCGTCCAAGGTCAGCAGGGGCTTGACTGCGGTTATGGAACGTGATTGCCCAGTAAACATGCCGACGTCGGCCCGACGTCGGTTCAACCTCGGCCCGACGTCGGCTGGACGTCGGATATGCCCGCAAGTTCCGAAGTCCAGCCGACGTCGAGCCGACGTCGGGCCGAGGTCGTTTGCCGAGGTTGACGAGATCGTTTGACGTTGGACCGACGGGGCCGACGTCAGCATGTTTATTGGGACAACGCGCCAAAAATATCAACCGGCGGCGGGATTCGAGCCCCCCAGTCGCCGACGTCGGCATGTTTACTGGGACAACACGCCAAAAGCATCAACCGGCGGTGAGATTTGAACCCCGTGTCATTTGAACGCGAGGTTAGTGCGCTAACCACTACACCACGCAGCCAAATAACGGATTTAGTTTGTTTTGTTGGGTTATGCCCTTTCGGTCTGACAAGACCATTTCAGAGCCGGAAGGATGATAGGATGGAGACATTGGTCTTCTTGGCGAGCACCCTGGGTCCAGTTCATATAGAGTCCCTGGTCTTATTGCTGTTACGTGACACTTATTGGAAAGGGCGACCCCGCAATGGATTCATATATCCACTTCACACCTGCAGGCTGCACCAACGTTTCCCAAAGTGTCCCTTTGATAAGTGGCACTTTGGCAAAGTGACACTTGCCGACTGGCCTTTCTATATGAACTGGGCCCGGCCCTGGTGAGTTGCCGGGGCTGAGCCTGACCAAAGGATAGGCCGAGCAGCCCCAAGCACTCACCGCACCCGGCTCAAGCACTCACGGCACCCGGCTACGGGCGAGCTCGGCTTACGGGCAATCCCAAATGGGATAAAGTTTCCCGTCCAGTCCGGATCAGGGGGTTGCGGCGTGGAGGAAGATTTGAGTTTCCTGAGGATATTTTGAATACAGAAGCTCTTTATGAAACACGAAACATGTATTTTATATTATTTTAACGGTCAAAACAGCGGCCGATGTCGGTCCGACGTCGGCCCGACGTCGGCTGGACCTCAGCAGTTGATCTCGGTCCGACGTCGGCCCGACGTCGGCTGGACCTCGGCTGGACGTCGGTACATGCGGGCATATCCGACATCCAGACGACGTCGTGCCGAGGTTGGACCGAAGTCGGGCCGACGTCGGCATGCCGATGCCGAGTTGCCGACGTCACCCCGACGTCGGCCGACGTCGGGCCGACGTCGGCATGTTTACTGGGTGGCTGGACAGCGTAGAATCTTTGTCGTCCGAGAGACATCAAACGCAGGGATAGACACTACATGGGACGTCCCAGAGACTCTGTAAAGATTCTACATGCTCTAAAATTTGAATCTTATTTTATTTGTGCCAAATTTTAACATTTGTAACCATTTAAGCTCATGGCCCATGCATTGCATATCTCTAATATCTATCTATCTCTGCTATTAAAATTCAAAGTTTGATGACAAATAACAAGGAGAATGGATGGAAAGCAAGTGAAGCAAGAATGTTTTTCCATTACAACACTTGATAGTTTTAACTTTCCATATTGATAATTGATATGAGCTCCACTCTCCAGTTGACCTTAATTTATGAACTTTTCAGGTAACCATGGAGAAAGCAATGGGTGATATGAGCATTGGTAAGTAGATACATGAAATCAGCTCACAAGAATTGGATTTGTCAATTGTCAGTCATTGGTTGGAACTATGAGCCTCAAGCCATTTTATTAGCTATTTTGCATACCTACCTACTTGTACTTGAGGCTCCCTGTAGTGTGTAGGAAAGGCATTTGAAGTGTATTCTTTCATGCATTGCCCTTTTTTATATGGTTAGTATTTTAAGGAAAGTATAGGTAAAGTGATTTAAGACATCTTTCCCTTAGTGCCAAAGTTTATGCAATGTCGGTAAAATGTTACTGTTTTGGAGGGGGGAGGGAGTAGCTGAATGAGCTAGCAGATTGATTCTCCTACTTTGCATTTTCCTCTATTCTCTCCTTATTTTGATTGCATTTTGTCACCTTGCTCTGAGTTGTTGATGAAATAAAGTCTGGAACTATTGTAGAAAAGTTTGCAACCAAAAGAGCTTAAATGTCAGTCCCAAGCCTCATTCAGTAGAACATTGAGCTTAATGTAGTGAGAGTACACGTCCTGGTGACAAATACAAGAGTCTGAGGTTCAAGGTGCGATGAACGCCTGATGCTTATGAGCTCCCTGACTGGCATGGTTGAGGTTTGTGGCAGGTTGAAGCCAGCCTAATCAGTGAGGGTGACTAACCATACATGACTATGTGCATAGTTAAACTTGAGAGAGAGAGAGAGAGAGAGAGAGAGAGAGAGAGAGAGAGAGAGAGAGAGAGAGAGAGAGAGAGAGAGAGAGAGAGAGAGAGAGAGAGAGAGAGTGGAGAGTGGAGAGTGGAGAGTGGAGAGTGGAGAGTGGAGAGTGGAGAGTGGAGAGTGGAGAGTGGAGAGTGGAGAGTGGAGAGTGGAGAGTGGAGAGTGGAGAGTGGAGAGTGGAGAGTGGAGAGTGGAGAGTGGAGAGTGGAGAGTGGAGAGAGCAATTCCTAAGAGGAGGGAGTGATATTTCATGTCAGGCACTGCTAGAAAAGAAACCATAGTTTGTTTCATTGAACTTCGATATTTCACTAAATTCTGCCACTCTGATGTGTTGTGTCTATTTCCACAGCAGAGATCTACACCTCAGAGAAGAATGGGTCAGATGAGACTGGCAAGGGCACGGCAGAGGCACCTTTCAAGACTGTGCTGCGTGCAATGCACCATGCTGGCAAGGAGCCGCTGCCCACTATCCTTGTGGATGCCAAAGAGGAGGGCAAGGTAGGATGAATGTCTGGGTGAATGTTGAAACAGCATATTGAGTTGTTGGGCAAAGCTGTAGGCGTGCGGAGTCGGAGTCGGTCGGAGTCGACAGTTCTGGCCGGAGACGCCGAACTCGTACCGACTCCGACTCCGGAGTTGAAGTCGATATTGCTTGGCCTAAAGTCATGTTTTAGCTAGTCAGTCAAATTATTCATTGGTTGTCTATCAGTCGTGTTACACGACACATTGGTTAGTGGTTATGATATAAAAAATCAGCATCTCCCCTAGAACGAATGGGACCAGAGATGGAGAATGTGTCGGCCGTGGTAGTCGTAGGAGTCAGGCCAATGTGGGCCCACGCCCACAGTCCACACAGAGTGTTAAAGCCTGCTGGGCCCTCTTAGACATGACTGAGGTCAGCTCATACCAGCACCAGGCCTTCCAAGGTCTTTGTGAGCCCCTTCGACTGTCGCGTGACCTCGCATGGAAAGAGAGCTGTTTTATGTTGATAATACCTGAAATACTTATTCGTGTTATATATGTATAATGTATATGACACCACATTACCTCACCAAATTGTCATTTGCGTAGGTCATCCAAAATAAACTGCACAACCCAATTCCACCCGTTACGACGGGTCATTTCTCGCCCCGGGCTGTCTGCAGGCCTCAGGCGGCGCCTCTCCCTGTCTGTCGACGGCACTCGAGCCGCACCTAGCCCAGTTCTCCTATATCGGCGGCCACTCGCCCAGTCGCCTCGACCTGCGCGTGCTCGCCCGCCTGGCGGAGCCGCCGCCGGAGCGCACGCACGCGGCGCGCTGGTGGCGTCACGTGCGCTGTCTCTCGGAGGAGTCCTCCGGCTGGCCGGCCGGTGAGGAGACGGTGCTCTCCCGGCTGGGTCTGGACCGACTCCTGGGACAGGTGGGCCCGCCCCGGTCCCGCGCACTGGCACACCTTGCCTAGTAGGTTGCTGTGGTGCCGCATTGCTTACCTCGCTGCACCGATGATGGTAGAAGCATATAGCTTATGGCATGGGCGACGGTATGCTTTTGACAGCTGCACCTTGCATGAGCTCCGCAATTATATGGATGCTAGTGGAATTCATTCGCTGACCATTATTGGGTATCACAGCGAGAGCGGAGCGGCCCCCGGTGCCCCCTCCTAAATGATTCTTGATTTATAACATGACGCTTTTGGACGCTGCAAAATGTCTCAAAGTCGTCAATCGTCATCAATGCATTATCGTAGTTGCATGATCGAATGCGTGTTGTGGCATTATCTCTTTCGAGCATTAAATGAGGTGGAGTAGACTATGAAGCGTTTAGTTCGTAAACCTGTCACATTCGTTCCGTTTGTTTACATCTGTTTTGTTTCAACTGCTCATGACAGCCAGAAGTATCTTACTCCTGCACTTGAGGACGTGCTCGCTTTTTATTCGATTTGTTTATCTTAGGCCTAGTTTTGCCATACGCCGTATGAGAGTCCCTCATAGCATCCTCCTGATTGTATCAAGTTTGTCCGACGGAGAGGGTTATTATCCGTCCTCCATTTCGCAATGGAGACGATCAATGTGTTTAGAGATTCACTGGTGATGCAAACGTTTGGCTTCGGTATAATTGACTTTGCAAGCAATTAAATGCAAATGGAATATCTGTATAGAAGATGTGGTGGCCAAAAGAGGCCCAAACTCACTGCCGTCCAAGGCCATATAGGTCCTGCCGTCTGTGGCGCAGTGACGGAGAGTTAAGGCCTCGGCGCCACCGCAGGGGTAAATCCATGGTGGCGGCTTGATCTGCACAATGGAGCTTCCGATTTGAATTATAGATTCTGAACCGGATAGTCAGTTGTTTGCACAGACACAGGCACGGTTCAGCCGATATACTACCTGCCATAATCGTTTCACACTGCATGCACCCGGTCGTACAATTACTGGCTTGATTTCTGAATGGCTGATGCTCGATTTCCTTTGCAGTAGCACTGCGAACCTTGCTCAGTCTGACTCACCCTTTCAGGGGCCTGAATGTCCGTCGGGATTTTTGCACTCCTGCTGGGCGAGCACTTGCCTTTCAAACACATCCCATTGTCCTCTGGCAAATGTTGTCCTCTGGCAATGTGAGGACTGAGGCATATGACTAATCACGAAATAATCAATCGTCTGATTGTAGTTCGGTTGTGATTAGATTAATGTCGGTTTAGTTTCGAGTTGCGGTTTTGCGTAATTGCTTTTACTAGCTAACCGCAGAAACTGTTCGGTGCTTTGCGATGAGTCGCAGCCAACATAACAGCGCCTGTCAATTTATCTATTGTGCGGTAAACTGTAGCTACGTGGGCCACCGTGCATGTGCTACGTTTGAAAGTGTCAAATTTCAATTATTTTTACATCTTCACTGAATCAACTTTAGATTTTTTGTTCACCCTGGACTCCTAAAATTCTAGCTTGCTGGACCGCTCACTAACACCATCACATTGTAGCTTGCTAAGACGTAATTTCTCCATTAGCTGCTCTTCATTGCTGATCGTCTACTCCTAACCTCAGAGCAATGCCGTGCTCCAATATCAATTCAGAGGAGTTTGTGTTCAGACTCAAATTATTTTGACTTGTCGTAGCATATCTTGCTCGCTCATTTGATACTTATTCCTTTTCTGTTTATCAGCAATTCGAACCTGTTGCCAAGTCCCAGTTGAAGAAGGTGCACAAGATATGGCAACATGAGGTGAGAAAGGCCGCAGAGCGCGCCAAAAAGGAGGCTGAGGACGCGGAGAAGCGCGCCAAAAACCTGGAGGAGGCGCGAAAGGTGACCATCGCCGAGGACCCCAGCTGGCCGCGCGCGGTGCGTGTGAAGATCAGTGAGACGGAGCGGCACCGCGACACGCGAGTCCAGGTCTACGGCTGGGTGCACCGGCTCAGGAGGCAGGGTGAGTAGGATGTGAGACAGGAGGAGGGCACGGAAATAGGAGCTATGAGAGAGGCAACTTGCTGGGAAATAGTGAACATTAAACAACACTGGATCAGTTATATGTATGAGCTTTGCATGTGCGATACCCAACGAAATGTAGTTTAACTGGCTGCTTAATTTTAATGAACGGTGTGATGATTTGCCATTTGCCAACCAAAAACAGATAATGTTCTAAAAATATTACTCTGCAGAATGTGCGAACTCGGCTTCCCGCCTCCCCATCTCACCACCCACCTCTGTCGTGTCCCTAGGCAAGGCGATGATGTTCGTGGTGCTGCGCGACGGCACGGGCTTCCTGCAGTGTGTGCTCACCGACAAGCTGTGCCAGACCTACGAGGCGCTGGTGCTTTCTACCGAGTCGTCTGTCTGCCTCTACGGCACCGTCAAGGCGCTGCCCGAGGGCAAAACGGTACGGCCACGCACGGGGACTGGCCATCTGGTGGGGAAAGGGTCTGGATGTTGGTTGGCGAAAGATGGATATTGATTGTTCGAGGTGTTTTTTTTTTCTCAAGGAGTGTGATGATAAATATGCTCCAAGAGTTTGATTTTAAAATCGTACATTTATTTTACTGTTTCGCTGCACCATTGCTCTATTCTTATCTGCTATCTGCTTTTACATTACCTCTGACTTGACCGTATTTTACCGAAACTATTGGCTATACAGTAGTCAATCATCCCTATCATTGGACAAGTGTTCATTTTCTCACGCACTTCTATTATCTGTTATTTACCAAACGCACTCATGTTGACGCCGCGCTTTGTGCCCACCAACAGGCGCCGGGCGGCCACGAGATGCAGGTCGATTACTGGGAGCTGGTGGGCCTGGCACCCGCCGGCGGAGCCGACACCCTACTCAACGAGGAGGCCAACCCCGACGTGCAGCTCGACAACCGGCACATCATGATCCGTGGCGAGAACGTTAGTTGGGGCTGCGGGGAATAGGGAGGGACAGGCACATCATGATCCGCGGAGAGAACGTTAGTTTAGGGTGCCGGGAATAGGGAGGGTAGGCGCATCATGAGCCGCAGAGAGAACGTTAGTTGAGGATGCGGGGAATAGGGAGGGTAGGCGCATCATGATCCGCGCGGAGAGAACGTTAGTTGGGACTGAGCGGGGAATAGGGAGGGGCAGGCACATCATGATCCGTGGGGAGAACGTCAGTTGAGGGTGCGGGGAATAGGGAAGCTGGAGAATGAGGACGTTGGTGAATGGGGAAAAGAAGGAGTGCGGCGGAGTTGATTTATGATTTCGGGAGAAACAATCGAAGGAGAGATACCACTTTTGATGAAATCAAAGACGGTAGCAGAGGCATAAGAAACGCATTGCAAATGCAAAGCAATTTTAATGTAAAACCGCTGCTGTATGCTCGTCTTATCAGCTATGCTTATGTAACCGTAATATGACCTGCAGTTTTCGTCACGTGGCATTCATAACTATCTCTTTTCTTTTCCATAGACCTCCAAGGTGTTAAAGATGCGTTCAGTGCTGACACAGGCCTTCCGTGAGCACTACTTCAGCCGCGGGTACTTCGAGGTGACGCCACCCACGCTCGTCCAAACCCAGGTAGCCACTTGCAAAATAAAATGTCTTTTTTATAAATTTAGCTCGAATGTTTGAATGGACGGATTGACAGAGCCGGAGCCCACGCTAAGCAGAGCTTGTTGCGTAGACCCCGACCCCTACCGTCCGATCGCGCAATTCCGGGTAACGGGAGAATTTAGATGCCAAAGTTTAACGTGCCCTTCAAAGCCGGACACGGTCTGTCCCACTCAACTGACTTCAACTGGCTGCGGCTGCTCCCACCAACCGCAGACCATCCCCGTCAGGAGTCTCAAATATCGAGCGCCGGAGCGTCTCGAACCCGGGCTCTCACTACCGGGAGTCCAATGCTCTACCAACTGAGCAACGGGACAGGCACTGAGCTACGGGACAGGCCGCCTACCTGGCTTTTGCTGTATTAAGTTTTCCAGATTTGATTTATCCCAACGAGCTTTACATTGTTCAGCCGAAAGTTCATACATTGTTCGGTCGTACAAAACAGTGAGGTGACATTTCACGAGATGCACCATTCGCCGTCTATAATCACGTTGTCTGTGGGTTGTGGCTGACGTGTCGCCTTTTTTCGCGGTCAGGTTGAGGGTGGCTCGACGCTGTTCAAGTTCAACTATTTCGGCGAGGAGGCCTACCTGACTCAGAGCAGTCAGCTGTACCTGGAGACGGCCATCCCGGCGCTGGGAGACGTCTTCTGCGTGGCACAGAGTTACCGTGCCGAGCAGAGCAGAACGCGCCGGCACCTGGCCGAGTGAGTGCATCACGTGGGGGTTTTATTCTGGAGGTACCTGCGGTATATAGCCGGAAGAATGTGTTTTTAAAACGAGAATTGAGCGCTGTTATAGCTGCAAAGTAAATCAAGTACGATTGTTTCATTCAGGTATGCACCATTCACCTTTGGCTTTGCGAATTATACTTCGTTGTGTGATATGCTCAAGATCGAACTGAGCTCTTCATTCTCTGATCTCTGATCTCTGATCACCAACTCCGCCAATTTTGCGATCATCAGGTACACCCACATTGAGGGCGAGTGTCCGTTTATCACGTTTGACGACCTGCTGGACCGGCTGGAGGACCTCATCTGTGACGTGGTGGACCGCGTGCTCAAGTCGCCCTTCGCCGACATCGTCTACGAGCTGAACCCGGTCAGTGTGTCTCCGAGGTCACTCAGCCTCGGTTTTACAGACTTCCTAGTCACCCTGTAGTTGTGTATTTATTGTAGTTTTTATCAGAAAAGTAATGTTAAAATTGTCAGCGTCCTGTCATTTTCGCAATGAATGTGTCAGTTCTTTTATGTATTTTTGCATGATTCATGTTGCGCCTCCAGGACTTCAAGCCGCCGAAGCGTCCGTTCCGCCGGATGGATTACGCGGACGCCATCAAGTTCCTGAAGGAGAACAACATCACCAAGGAGGACGGCACGTTCTACGAATTCGGCGAGGACATCCCAGAGATGCCAGAGAGGAAGATGACAGACATGATCAACGAGCCCATCATGCTCTGCCGCTTCCCCTACGAGATCAAGGCGTTCTACATGGCCAAGTGTCCCGAGGACCCGCGCCTCACTGAGTCGGTAAGGCTGCTCAAGTGTGAAGGGTGACGATACTGATATCTTGGGTGAACGGTCTCATAGATGAAACATAAAATTTGTGTTGTGATATCTCAATAGCCTTTACATTTGTATTAAAATGTGTGTCAATCTCCATTGTAGTCCTCTATTGGGCTCATAATAATTCCACTGTCGGCGCGTCCCAAAGCCCCAGCAAACCAGATGATTCCTGTGCCATTGTCAGTTTAGCTATTGTCTTTTTTACCCGCCTGTTGTTGACGGGCTGACCCGTCGCCCCCGTCCTGTCTCAGGTGGACGTCCTGATGCCGAACGTCGGTGAGATTGTCGGTGGGTCGATGCGCATGAACGACCTGGCCCAGCTGGAGGAGGCGTTTAAAAAGCAGGGCATCCCCTCGGAGCCCTACTACTGGTACAAGGACCAGGTGAGACGACAGTTGGACAGCGCAGTCTGTATTTGTATTTCAACGAGTCATGGGTTTGGTACAATTGCCTATATCGGCAGCACTTAATCGGTCGGCATTGATCGTTGTCGTTTTTTTCTGGTCGTAGCCACTGGGTGCCAAAACAGGGATGATCTATTCATATCTTCTATCTGTCATGGTAAAGCATGTATCTTGCTTGAACCGGTTCTGATATGCTCGGTAGCATTGCCTTTTGACATTTGTGAGATGAACGTTTCTGCAATCCTGCACTTCGATGCATAATCTTTTTGTCACGTCGCATGGCTTTTCTACCCACCAAAACCTAAGTTGTGGGCAGTGTCAGTTGAGCGTGACTGCCTTGTAAATCGTTCCAGCCTCTTACGCTTTTCATCCGCGGACCTTCAAAAATGGCCTATCGTAGCTGTCCCTAGCCAGTACGCACCATCCCCTCACACTCGGCTGGTCCGGAAATATCTAACACCCGCTCCGCTGTTCGTTACAGCGTGTCTACGGCACAACTCCGCATGGCGGGTACGGCCTGGGCCTGGAGCGTCTACTCTGCTGGCTGCTGAACCGCTACCACATTCGAGAGGTGTGTCTGTACCCGCGCTTCACGGGCCGGTGCAAACCCTGATCGGACCGCCCCGTACCGTCCGGCGCTCGGCCGTCCACAGACCAAATCAGCTTTATTTATACCGCCCCACGGCCATGTTTTGCGGTGATCCATCCCATCGGGAGCTGGTAGCGAATACATTTCGAATGAAATGATCAAGTTTTTGAGGTGGTAAGGGATGGTGGGATTCAGGGTGGCTATCCTTTGACTCTCCGAGCTCCCTCTCACGTGGGCTTTCTAAAGGGTTTACTCATAAGCTACCCTGCCTGTCGTTGGTCCTGGTAACCTTTACCCCGATAAGTTCCTTGTTTCTCCGCCTGCTCTGTGCTATTTCAGTAGTAAGGCCGGTCGCCGGTGGACGAGTCGGCCTCCTCCGCGCTCGACACGCTCCCCAGGCTGCCGTGGTCGCTGCTGGCGGGCCGCGCCTCTCCTCCCCGACTGAGACTGAGACTGAGTCCGAGACTGCGCCGGCGCCGCGTGTCGGCCGAGCGGGCGCGGTCGGACATGGCTGAGCCGGGCCGCGGCTCGTGCCACTCCTGCGAGTCGGCCACACCCGACAGGGTGATATCCGAGGGCGACACGGAGCGCTGCTCGGGCGTCTCCAGCTCGGCGTCAGACAGCGAGGCGGCTGTCGCGGCCGTGGGTCGCACGTCCATAGACGAGAGGGACGCGGGTCGCGGCGGCGCCGTCTCCTGCTCAGTGACTGGGCCGGCGGTGGCTGCCTCCACGGACCGAGACTCTGTCAGACTGGTGACCTCCGCCTCGTCGGCCTCCTGGTAGGCGTGCCAGCCGGTGACGGCGCGGCGCACCTGGCGGAACCGCTCGTGCGCCGTGCTGGCTCCCTCGCCGCCGTCCACCACGGCGATGTTGCTGCGCGACTCCTCAGCGATCGTCTCCAGCACCTGCCGCAGTCGGTCGTCACTCTCGTCCTCTACATCAGCCGGGCCGGGCGTCAGAGAGGTGCGCATCATGAGCGTCTGCCCGGCGCGGCTGTCCACCACCACGAATCGTGCCTGGTCTGAGCCCGGTTCCAGGACCAGGTAGCCGGCCACGGGCAGTGCTTCGTATCCTGCCGGCACCTGATCCACGGGCGGCGGCAGCGCGGCCGGCGGCGGCGGCAGTGTCTTGGAGGCGGACGGAGCTGCGGCCGGTGGAGCTGCCGGCTCCGGCCGCGGGGTGGTCTCCGCGCCAGGTCGCTGACTGGGGATGTTCCTCCGCAGCGCGGCCAGAGAGTCGTACTCGAGTGGTAGAGGGCGAGAGACGACCTCCTGAGACCGGCTATTGGACAAAGATACACACACCCGTCAGAGCAGTAACACATGACACATGACGCGCAGTTTCAGCCCCAGCACAGTCCATCTGCTCACCCGTGCCCGGCACTGACGCTGTGGATAACAGCAGCCTACCTGGCGGTCCATCGGTTGTGTGCGCGACTGCTGGCGTTGAGCGGCTGGATCTCCAGGTTGGAGATGGTCTGCGCAGTGCTCTGTAACCCTCCCGGACCGAGGCCCTGCTGCAGCTGGGTTGTCTTTCCCGGACGGAAACGGATCTGCTGCCGGTAGCTGGAATAGCACAGACAGATGTGTGTGTGTCAGAGGCTGATTCTATTTTTCTTCCGTCTGTAGCATGATCACAAACAATCAAGGGCGAGCGAATCGACGGTGGTGCTCGTCGTGTAAGAAACGGCACAATAATGCCAGAAGAAAAGATTTCCTTACAAGGCAGGGTAGAGGATAGGGATAATTTTCACACGGATCTCGGCAACGATCGGATGCCAATTGCTTCTCGCTGAGGCACAGATTACGTCACTCACCTGGGCGGCATGTCCTGGATGCTGATGTAGCCGAAAATGGGCGCGCCGAAGCTGGCCTGGGTCAGCTGTGCAGGCGCGTCTCCGGCTCCTTCGGGCGAACCGTCCGCTGCGAATGAAGGGCACGGGAAGACAGTTTGTCAGTCCATCCATGCAGCTGACAATGGGGCAAGAAGGACTGTTTGCCTGGAGCTTTGTAGCTATATCGGTCATATTTATATTCTGTGTTCTGTGGGTATCTTGATCTTTCTGCTCCTCGTCATCCCTGCGCAGAGTTGAGTTAGCTTACACAGGCGATGACCAAGCCGGTTACAAACAGGTCCCATTCTCACATGCAGTTTTATCCTATCCACACCAGACATTATCACAACCGTATCGCACGGTCCCGACCAGTGAACAGTCGCAGTCACTCACCCATCTCTCTGCGACGTAGAGCCAGCGGCAGCGCAAACAGGATGCCGGCAGCGGCAACGATGACGGCTCCACAGAGGATGAACGCCAGGTCATAGGAGCCCACAGTCTCTCGCAGAATACCTGTGAAACCCAGTGTCCGATGCCGATCAGAGGAATTAGTCACGGTCCACGGATGAGTTCAGCGGCTGACAATAGAAATACGGGACGTATAGCGACATGGGTGAGTGGACGAATAACTGGCAATGGCATGGCTCAATGGACGCCGATGACTGTTGCAGTCCCCTTAAACCAATATAAACATTAAACATCATCATCAGAATTCATCAAGGATGGATGCTTCACTTTACGGTGACACCTACGTAACTGCTGGATACGTACCGGCCACAAACGGTCCAATGATCCACGGAATGGATACCATCCCGACCAGCAGCGTCCAGGCGATCTCGGCCGTTCCTCGCGGTCCCATCAGTCGCAGTGTGGTCAGGGGCATCAGGTCGACGTAGAGGCCCTCGGCGGCGCCGTACACCAGCGCGAACGCCAGCATCAGTGGCAGGTTCACCACGGCAGGCACGAGGATCAGGGACAGGCCCATCACTGGGGGTGGAGCAGCGGTCAGGGGGGGGGAGGCAGTGGACAGGCACAAACATTTATAGATAGGTACAGATCTGTCAATGGTGACACAGCTTCTGTTAATATCCCATCTTTGTACCGTGTCCGAAGCAGGTCAATGTCTTTCGACCGATGCGCTACTAAACTGAATGTATCACCTTCGTAGCTCACAAAATTGTGTTACCCTGTGATAACCGGTGGCGGTGCCGGTGGCGCCGCCGTCTCACCGAAAATGGAGAGCTGTGCCATGAGTCTCTGTGAGACTCGAGGGTGGTCGAGGACCCGACCGAAGCCGATCCTGCCCAGAGCACTGGCCACCGACATCAGAGATACGGCCGAGGAGGCCTCGCCGAAACTGAGACCTGGGGAAAAGGCGAAAGAGATGATTAGAGACAAGGTTTGAAAGCACTGACAAGACACAGGCCTCAGAAGGAGACGGACGGGGAAAGGGCTCAGTACGTCTCTTTGTCCTAGGAAGACGTCTTTCTCCCATCACTGAGCATTCCGTGTTGGCACTCACCGATGTCCAGGCCCCGCTGCACCAGGTGTATGATCGGCGTCATGGAGCCGAGATGGACCAGCATGATGCACGACACCCAGACGCAGTAGACGGGGTCTCGGAGGGTGTTCCTCACCTGACGCAGGTATACCGTCACTGCCGAGGGAGAATGGGCGGCAGGTCCATGTCAGTTGGGATCGGGTCTAGCTGGACTGCTCTCGTTGGAATAGGAGGTCGCACGGTCGGCGCAGTTAGCACCTTATTGGTAGCTGACACTGCAAGGCGCAAGCTTCCGTTCGTTTTGTCGTTTTGTCAGTATTGGTCTCCCACATAGCCCGCAGTGTCGTAATCTGACAGCATCCTCTCCTCTATCCATACTCATCATTTTGTGTGACAGGATTTTGCTCTCTCCTTCCCTTCTCCCCACTCACCGTCTCGGGGCCGGCCGGGCTCTGTCTGGTTGGTCGGTATGAGCCGCTCCCGGCCGCTGAAAGTCGAGGCGCCGACGAACCCCAGACACCCGATTCCGGCCAGCACTCGCATTGTGGCCCGGTATCCGACAGATGTCAGCAGTACCTGCCGGCAGAGGGGGCAGCACAGTTGACGTTCTGCACCGCATTTGTAGCATAGGGACTATAACTAACCCCGCGTTCGATGTCTCTCGGACGGCGAAGATTCTACGCCGTCCGGCCAATCACATTCCATAACCGCAGCCGCGCCCCCGCTGACCTTGGACGGGATTGGCGGGACGGCATAGAATCTTCGTCGTCCGAGAGACATCGAATGCGGGGTAAAGCTACGGGTGAAATTAGGCGGTGGCATCTTTTTGTAGCTTGGTGAATTTGTTAATATACGGATGCTCTGTGCTCAGACTACACAATTAATTAGACCATAGACACACTACCACAATATACATGTAAAAAAAGGCAGCGCTTCCCGCCTGCAGGCTGCACAGCATAAATTTATGATAAGGTAGGAGACTATTAGGTAACGTGCAGTTCATTTCTCTCGGCCTTTGCATTCAGTGCCTCAGCGTGTCTCATCCTTCCCAATCCCACATGCTTACCTGAGCAACTGGAGGCAGTATCATGCCCCCTATCATGGTGCCAGACATCACTATTCCGGTGGCGAGGCCCAGGTGGCGGTCAAAGTAGGGACTGCCGGTCAGAGGAGAAAACAGAACGGCTGTTAGAGATAACGTAAATACGGGAAAGGATAAACATGCACACATGTAACGACCATGAGTCGACACAAATAGCTGGGGTACTCTGGGAGCGGGGTCTACGTGACTGACTTCGTGATAAGTGTTGAATGTCGTCTGTGCTTATCCCCATTTACGATTCCGTATAGATAAAGTGTTTGGGCCGAGCATTTAACAATAGGGTTTAGAAGACAGAAGCGTATGTGTTCATATTTCACGCCAATGACCGAAGCGCAATGGACGGGCGCCGTTTTTGTCGTTTATAGCATTTTCGCTTGTCGCTAAGTGATGCTTGCACCTTATTCCGATCGACCGGGCGCACCGAGTGCGGAAATCAGGATCATAGACGCACTGGAAAACAGCCGGATTTGGGCTTGTGTGTTTTAAACACACTATTTATGGGCGAACGCGGTAGTGGAATAATTCAGCCGTCCTGTTTGTCACGCACAGTACTGGTGGTGGTACTCTGCGGCCTCGCAGATGGACCAAGGACGGCGGCTGAAACAACAAATGGTCCGGCGGGCCACACGCCGAACCTAGCCGCAGTTTATGAATTATGGCATGTCGCCCGGCCCGGCTGCCGTGTGTCGGAGGCCTAACCGACCCTTGACGATGCGCTAAAGCGATATACTGGGATATTATCAATTATCACAGATGAATTCACATGCATATGCTGCCGGCTACTGAGTATTGGACCTGCAATCTGAAAAACAATATTCTGAAGGTGTAAGAAGGTGTGAGCTTACGGTCAATTGGGTGGAATTCCCTAACAAACGTAATCCGTTCATAACAGTCCGCTTCGGATGCGGTCCAAGTCTATTGGATAAAAGCACCAGAAGAGAAGGTATCTGCTCTGCAGAGTTCATGGAACTCTATGATATCACTCGTTGATCCGTGGTGTGACCCGGTGCCTCCCTCGACCGCGCTTTGTGACGCATTTGGGCGGTCATGGCGGCTGCAAACCTGCCGAGCCTGTGAGTCTCTCTCGACTGCAGCAGTGTAACAGCGGCCGTTTTACGGCACCGAGACTGTAGTGCCGTGTCGCCGTGTGTCGCGTCATCGTCACTCCGGGGCTGCCGGCGGCCAATGACAAGGCGGCGCCGGCAGAGCTCCCAGAATTGAGCTGAAACCAGCTGAGACCGCGCCGGTCACTCCCAGCGTGCAGTGACCGTGCACGGAATTTTATTGTCGTTGGGCGCAGGTTCTGATGGAGTTTAGAGCTACCGGGAACGACAGCTCTCATTGAGTCAGGATGACCAGAGGGGAGTCATGCAGTGAATCACTTTGTTCGTGATCGCGGTGTGTGTCAGTGCGCGTGTGGGCGCCGACAAGCGTTAGGGTAGTCTGGACCGCATGAGTCACCGGTTGAGATGTTATCATCTCCCCGAACCAGTTGTACTGGTGCGAGAAGACTGGTCTGAAGGGGGTTTACATGTGGACAAAATGACTGAGCTAATTGCTGCACGTTTCATCAGCTAGCGATTGACGTCCTATACGGGTCGTTTGTCAGGGAGTTCGTTTGTCAGAGAGTTCCAAACCTCGATTGTGACGTCACCGCAAACTCTGTTCGGAAATACCAACCGGACATTCAACCGGGTGACAAAGCCCATGGAACTCCGATGCATGCACTCATGTGCGTCGGACATGCCTAGTGTCCTGTTAATGTATAGCGCAGTCTACTTCGCTCAACCATTGCACCGTTCGGAACTTCCAACTTCCAATAAACGATCGTCAGTCTCGTGAATTTCCGCTCTTCGGACTACGGTGACATTAAATGATACGTGCATTTGAAATGCTTGCTGCATATTTGCACGACATATTCATGCTACGCCGGGCCTTTGCAGCGTCTATCTCTCGCTCATTAACCCCTCCCATACCTGCTGAGGGCTTACTTCCCTTCCCATAGGCCCCACTCACTTGCTGACGACCACGGACGGCGTGTAGGACAGACTGGAGCCGAGGCCGAACAGGAAGACGTAGCTGACGGCCAGCTCGGTGACGCTGTGGGCGAAGCTGCAGCCCAGCAGGCCGGCCACGGCGATAAAGGTGCCGATCGTGGCACAGGCCCGGTGGCCGATCTTGTGGAACACCAGGCCAGAGAACGGGCCCAGAAACGACGAGAAGCCGTACGAGAGCGAGCCCAGCCACGCTGCCGAAAGGGACGGGATGCAGAAGCGGCGGAACACCTTCAATTAAGGGGGGGGGGCACTGCCGACTTTTGGTCCCATTCTTTCCATGCAACGCCCATAGGGCTAATGTTAAAATGCCAAAATCAAAGGGGGACACGGTGGCCCGGTGCCCTCCCGTCCCGCCGCCTATGACGGGATGCTGAAGAATAAATATTAAAGCAAGCAGCTCAACAGGCTAAAAAAGGAAGACGCACGTTTTAAAAGTTTCGTCCAGATAGCGGGTCCTTCCCACCCAATCTGACACGACTTACATGCGGTGTCGTAGGAGAGTCCGTACTCCTGGCGGAATGCAATGAAGAGGACGCTGTAGGCGTGGTGGATGCCGATCAGGAATGTGTTGACCAGCAGGGCGCCCATGCAGACGCACCACGACCAGCACGTGTCCACCTCTGCCGACGGATGGGGAGCGTTGGCACTTGGCATGGTGCCCAAGAGACATGAATTAAAATTGATTTAATATGGGTAATTGAGATCGTGTAAAGATAAAGCAATGGTTCGTCCGTGCATTTTTCACATTAAACTATTTACATTTAACTGCTGCATTCAATTAGTTTAATCTTTGACACCGAACCATTCGAGCATCGAGCTCGCTCTGCCGCTGAAGGTATCAGTCACCTGCCTCCTCTTCTTCGTTGTCGTCGGGCTCGCCTCCGTCCAGGCTTCGCTGCAGGTAGGCGGCATACCGACGCACCTGATTCTCCCGAGCCCGCTGCACCGCCAGCGGCACCTCGATGGTCGACGACGAAAACGCCATGGTCGCGGCGAGCACAAATCACCAATCGAGATTAAATTGAGCTTTGTAAGAGACACAATAGTCTGACTTCGTTTGAACGTTAGATTACCGCAGCTTTAAATTTTTATCAATTTACATGTCGAAATTCGTTCGAATAAATCGTTCGACAAGCTTGGAAACGTCTTGGAAACTTTTGTATGCAATTTTTCAACGCTTCTCAACTCGTTGAATTTTCACCTTGCACGTGCCGAATGTTGCAGTTGATGCACTCAAGGCGATGCATTGCAGCTAAAATGTCGGCCGTTATGTCGTTTCAGGCCCTTGATTTCCTGCGCCTTGATATTCGCAATGTCAAAAATATTAGGGGAAGTTGGGGCAATGCCGGAGTTGGGGCAAAGCCGAAATTCGAGATATTTCGAAAACCGTAAAACATGGATGCCACCTGTCAGTGATGCTCTGAAGCTTAAGTGACTACAATTATCGCATGTTTGTTACGAGTCGTCATTCGGAATACTTCGACTGTGAGGGCGCCAAGAGCGTTTTCAAGGTACGTTTCCCTTGTACTACATGCGCCTTTGAAGCTGCATTTTTTACTCATTATGCTACCGTTTGTCTGGCTAATTCGGTCAAGTAATCTTTAGCATGTCTTTGCATAAGTGTGCTGCCTATTTGAAATTTATACAGCACGTTGAAAAGTTATGGGCCTGCAAATGAAAGTATGGCTGGCTGGGGTAATGCCGAAAACGTGCGATTACGCACGTGTTAAAAGCACGCTACGTGGACTTTACTGCTGTAGAATAGCAACACGTATTTTTAGTCACACAAATTACACTTTCAACCGACACAACGGCCTGTTACCTATCAGGAATGATTTACCTGGCATTTTCTTATTATATCACACAATTATAACTTCCAGTGTGCACCGCGTCCTCAAGCTCTTGAAACGTGTGTCAGCTTTGATGAATTCTGGATAAAGTTTGAGATAAAATGGCAAAACATCAATGTCGGCATTCCCCGTAGATCATTTCTCCCATTTTCGGCTTTCCCCGCAGTCCGGGGCAACGCCGAAAAAGTCACTTCTTTGATATTTTTACTTTGTGCGCTTAACGGTATGCGAATTCATCAAATGCGCCTGGTATGTTTGAAAGGCAAAAGACTGGCCTCTCGAATGACGCCAACAAGAATAGCGTATGTTGTCTACCTTGCGTGCTACGGGCGTCAGAAAAAAAGTCTTCGGCGTTCCCCCAACTTCCCCTATGTGATCTTAACGTTAGGCTAATGCATCATGTTGGTCAGGACGGTGATTGTGTTAAATGAACGTTATATCGTGGTTCAGAGCGATCGCCTACTTGCATTCTTTAAATCTGTAGTAAAACAAAGTAGGTGCGTAAGAATTAAAAGCAAGAGTAATCGTTGAAATACCTCATAGTAAACAAAGCCGCTCGGTGATCACCTCAACAGCTGGGTGTTTAGATTCTCTACCACATCTACATTCTACAGCAGAGCTCATTTCCGGCCGATGTTATCCGTATACCCCGGCAGGTGACCGACATTTAAAAACAGCGCTCTGACAGCATTCCGCGGCTCTCGACAGATGCAGGCGGGCGGGGTGGTGCAGCACCAACACCACCCGTCCGGCATTCCTCCACCGGCCGGTCGTGTCCACTCATCTATTAAGGCGGCGCCGCGGGCCTTCCCACGGTAATCCACCTGCTGACCTCTCCCCTGCAGGGGCCCGCTCCCCGGCCCCCTCCCAGGCCGACGGCAGCACCTGGCCCGCGCGCCCCTCCCTTCCGACAGGGGAGCACGTTATTAGCGAGAGACGCGTGTCCGGCCGCTCGGAAGGGCGCTGGTTAGGAACGTGGGTGCGGTATTTGAGGACGGTGACTGACAGCCAGACCTTGTGGCAAGGCTTTGTCAGGGTCTGGTCTAGCGGCCCGAAGAAGCTGGTCCATTCATTCAAATTGAATCTTTGGAGTTAATTTAGATCCGAGACTTGTTAGTTATTTTTCTTACTGCTGATGAAACGGAGGAAAGCAAACGAGTGTATGTACTGCCATTTTCAGTTTTCATACACCAACAGGCTCATTTGAAAATTAAGCGGTGATCACCGTTCACTTCAATCGGCTTCGTATCTAGTGGGAAGTAAGCACTCCGATTCATTCATCCTGGACGGCGCGGAGCTGCTGCCCAGCCTGGCCTCTTGCCGTCTGCAGGGGCAGGGGTCGGGGTCGCGGCGGTCGCGGTCGGGTCGGGGGTCACAGGCGCCTCTCCGTGACCGTCGGTTGCACGGACGGCGCTCACCGGTCCGGCCGATAGTGGACGGTTCAGCGGCTGGTTCTCACGGGCGTTCCGGCTGCCCCCGGCCCTCCTCCGCTGCCGGGCCGAGCCATACCGGTCTCAGGAGTTCGTGGGACGGCCCGGTGGCCAGCACCGATCGGTCACGCCAGCCCATCTCGGCGATGAATGGGAACTCCGGAGAGGAGAGAAACAAGTTCAAGCGGTACCTGTGTGCAATCGCTCATTGATGGTAACTGCATTGAATGCAAAACAGTTGATTGCTACAGTTACTATGTACATACGCAGACATCTTGGTTGATCAATCTGCGTGACTCGTATGACACCTGGCTGCTATTTCACTCAGCTGAAACTTCAGCATGCAGATAAGATCGTCTGTGCATGCTACTAACATGGTGACACTCTTTGCGACGAGTAGCGGCACGACATGCTACCGTATTTCGGCTGATACGCTGTGGCCCATACTCGTACTCCTGTGTCATGTTGTGCTGCTCGTACCGTGGCGAGTAGTACAATGAGTAATTTTCGTTTTTGCTGTGCCGGCCTGTATCAACTAAAAAGTAGCAACTACCAACCCGCGCTGAACCACACTGTAATTGACGCAATAATTAATCAGTTGAAGTCATTTACTAATTAAACCACCAATTAATCGGCCTAAATGTCACCAGCTGTCACATGTTCAGCGGCATTCAGCGGTTATCAGACATCACCCTTCCCGTCCCTCTCTACCCATCATCTCGGGTCCATACCGGGGTCTGTCGATCTGGTCTGTCAGGTAGCCAGCCGTAGGTACCGTACCGCCCGTATATCAGACGGCCCAGACTAGAGGTGGCAAAAGATGAAAATTTTGGGAACCAGACTCGAACCAGACCCGGCTGGACATTTCTGGAACCAGTCGGACCCGACCTTGGTTGGAATCGGAACCAGTTGGACCCGGTTCCCCAAAAGTCAATTAATACAAACTACTTGTAGGTATCATTAGTTGCATCATGTAAAGCAGCCTATTTCCCACTGGGAATACTCATGAGCTACTGTGTGCCAAGAAACATTCACTTCATTCACTTCATATTTTGCAATAATGTGTAGTGTGCAAGATGTACAGTTTATGGTAGACCCGGTTGGCCCCGTCAGAAAATTTCCAGGAACCGGTCTGGACCCATATGGGTCCAGACTGGTTCTTTGGACCGGGTCCTCGGGTCCACATTTTGCCACCTCTAGCCCAGACCGCCCGTCCCGTCAACCATTGACGTCCTGGTTAGATTTACATCTGACTGCATGAACGCTAACCGTGGTGTCAGACACCGTCGTAAACAGAAGCCGAGCGTTTGTCGGTCATCGCTGATCGCAGTTCAGCTGAGCTGATGACCTCTGTTGGCCACTGTATGCCACTCGACACTTCTTCGAGTGCAAGGGAGATGTTCAGTTCATGCGGCTCGCTGCGCACACAGGGTAGTCTTCAAGGAGAGCAATTCTGATCTGATGTCGCTAGATTGGCCGGCTGTCGCGTGCCCCCTGATTGTTGAGAGACAACCTGAAGTTCAGCTGGCTCGTTGTGTAGGATTTGTCTTGCTTCTCATCTTCATCTCCTCAAGCTAGTCTTTGCTTTCTTTGAGTACGCTGCAGCTGGGTAATTAACGGGAGCGCAGCTAAATGACCCAAGCCATTCATGGTTTTGGCGCTGAATGATGACAAGGGACATTGTGTTTGTGTTTCTATTAACAAGTATCGATTCACGGAGATTACCGCCGGTTAAATGGGCTATTGTTCTGGTGCGAAGATTATGGAGATATGGTTGGGTACTGCAATAGCATACCGACATTTAGCAGTGCCATGGTAACTGGAATGATGGCCCTGATGGAGACCTGTGCCTAGTAAAGGTATTGCTGTTTATACGTGTTTAGTGCTGACCCACGAGTGGCTCATATGATATGTCAAATAAATAACATAAAGTGCATGCAATTCAAACGAACACGTACTGCATTTACATAAGTATGACAACTTATACGTCATGACAGTGACTTCTGCACCTTCCAGTTCGACAGCTAAAATACTAGACGGAAGGAATACAGGAGGAATACAATGTGCAGGAAAGCTCCCGTTTGACCATTTTAAACCGACAAATCATATCAACGAGTTATCACATCACATTGTTCACCTCTTCCCGTCACTAAAAGCAAGTGGTACTGTAAGAGTGGCACAAATATTTTCAAACAGTTTAGCTGAAAAAAAATGTCACAGGTCATATTCCCAATGGGACCAATGATCAGTGCTGGCGATGACTAGCCATGCCTCAAAGGTAACTAGATTGTCGTCTTCATTATGTGCGATTGGCAAAAAGACGAAACCATGTCACGCTGCTGCCTTTACATTAGCAATATAAAACCGGCTCTGGGACGTGAGTGCATTGACGCGTCTTAATTTAGATCGGCTGCGGAAAAAAATTTAGAGACGAAATCATTGCAATTGCAATTTTTGCCAGAAGCAGTTGATAACATCGTCTTATCCTAGGTCGTACTCTCATACCCGTGAGCATAACGCTACTATTTTTAAAAGTGAAAGCAGACAAGTACCTATATATGGATAAGCTCAATATGTGATAAAGCAAACTAGCTTGCACAGAAATCAATGAGTGTTTCAACTTTCAATCGTTGATGTTGAAAGTACCTATTTTATTTCAATCGTTGATGTTGAAGGAAACGGAAGGAAACTGAGATAGATAGCATGCATGGATCTCTCACACAACCGAGCTCCCATATTGAACGCTTGCACTGTGCCGATGAGTAGGTATCTGTGCAAAAATATGCCACCCTGTGTGGTGAGCGTCTCCTGGGAGGCCGTGGCGGTCGTGCCAAATGGACCGATATTTCACAGACCCGTTGTATAATGAGCGCTGTTGCCGACTGCCGGCGCCAGGCACGCGCCCACGGCGAGTGTGTGGGCCCCTGAGCCATTCCAGACCTCCGAGGGGCTGCGAGATCACCGCCGATAGTCGACCGGTGAAATGCGGATCAGCGTCGTGGTTCGATAATTTGCGGAATGGGATCTGAATGCATGCATTTGTGTACACAGGTGTATACAGAGCGAATACCTGTTTGCGTCATGTGAACAGTGAGATGCTCCGATATGAGTAATG